CAGTCACTCAGAGAAATCAGCGTGATTGAAGGATAATGAGGCACTCTGTTAATTTTGGTTTTTCTCATTTTCTTATTTCTCCAGTCTTAAGGCGGGTGCATACCCTCCAACATTTCTCCATAGAAAATAGGGACAATAGAAAATAGTAGTAGTAGTAGTAGTTGTTGTTGTTTAGTCGTGTCCGACTCTTCGTGACCCCGTGGATCAGAGCACGCACTCTTTGTCCATGGGGTTTTCTTGGCAGGGATACTGGAGTGGCTTGCCGGTTCCTGCTCCAAGTGAATCATGTTTGGTCAAAACTCTCCACAATGGCCTGTCCATCTTGGGTGGCCCTGCACAGCATAGCTCATAGCTTCTCTGAGTTATTCAAGCCCCTTCACCACGGCAAGGCAGTGATCCATGAAGGGGAGTAGTAGTAGTAGTAGTAATTAATAATTTTATTATTTAGACCCTGTCCATCTGATTGGGTTTGCCCCAGCCACTCTGGCCAGCTTCCAACAGATATAAAAAACATGACAAAACATTTAAAAGAAAACTTCCCTTCAGATGTCTTGCAGAGTTGTCTAAAGGTTGCATGGTTTGTCTAAAGGTTGCATAGTTATTTATCTCCTTGGCTCAGGGGGTCGCAAAACTCCATACACTCCAACATTTCTCCAATGAAAATAGGGACATCCTAAGGAAAAGCGGGGCTTTCCGGGATCCACTCAGAAAACAGGGACAGCTGGGAGGGAGGTTTGCAGGCGTAGGTAACTCTGAGGCCACCCAGAAGTTGTTGGATTACAGCTCCCACTGTCCCTGACCGCGCTGACTGATGGGAGTTGTAGTCCATCAGGCTGAGGCCAGTGCTTCTCAAACTATCTGAAGTGGCGGAGTGACAGTTTCTTCTCCCATTGTGCCAGGGATCAGGACCAGATTTGGCCCCTGAAATGTCCCACCCAACATGGCTTGTGGTGGAGTTACTGGGAACCAGCAGCCAACGCCTCGCAGACTGGCATCAATTGGTCCACGGTCCTCCACTTTTGAGTAGCACTGGTTTCGTTTAATACCTTAGCAAGTACTAATACCTTAGCAAGTTTCTGATATATTGCAACTCTAATGGAACTTATGACCTGGGACATTGTTGAGTTCTTGCTGAGTGTTATTCCTGCTTGCTGAGGTTATAGCAAAGAGCACTTCTCCCTCCCGCTTCCCCAAGCTAATAAAAATGTGTGAGAAACTGCCAGAAGTCCCGGTTTTCTGCTCTTCTATAGGGATTTTGTTTCAGTGTCTCTTCCTCTGGCCTGTGCAAATAATGACAGGGGTCAGGATGGAAGCTCTCCTGGGATTTGCTATTCAGAGCCAAATGACCATGAGAAAGAGAGGCAGCCGGCATTCCAGAGGGAAAATGCACAATCCCTCTCGCCTTATAGCGAGTTTGAGAAAGTGCTATTCCTCTGGAATTTCCCAAGCAGGACTCAAGCCAGCAGCCCAAGTGATGAATGGGAGGGTTGGGTTGCCAAAAGAGAGAGGGGTGGGGGTGGAGGAAAGAAGAGAGATGGAAAAAGCATCAAGAAGGCTGTTTTTCTTTAGGTTTTAAGTGTGTTATTAACCTTCTTCTCTCTTGGCCAAACAGTTTAGGGTTGAGCAGTCGCAGAGAGCCATTTTCCCTTCCCTTAAATCTAAGCAGCTTTCCATGGAAGATTCTATTGGAATCAGTGGGACTTATTTTTAAGCAGCGAGTGGAGGCAGAATGGGGCCCTGCTCTACCAGCCTTGGTCTGCTCTCAGCCAGCCCTGCCTCCCACTTCCTTCCTTACAAGTCCAAGGGGCAGCTGCAGGGTCCGTTGGCTAACTCTTCCTCCATCTCAGTGTTTCCCCTTGCAGGGAGGAAGATGAGGACAAAACTAGAATTTGTTGGCTCTGCCTGTCATTGGCTCAAGCTTCAACTTTGGCTGGCCCCATGTCCTCCGCCCCACTGGTTCTAGCCCAGGGGTGCCCAAACTTTTTTCAAAGAGGGCCAAATTTGATGAAGTGAACATGTGTGAGGGCTGAACATGTGTTGTTGACCTTTTTTTAGGATTGAAGTTGCTGAGCTTTTTTTAGGATTATGCCCCAGGGCCAGATTAAATTGACTGGCGGGCCAAATTAGGCCCCCAAAACGGACTTTGGTCGTGCCCATTGGTCGGAAAACTAAGGCCCGCAGGCCAGATCAGGCCCAATTGCCTTTTGGCCAGCGCACGTGTCGTCTCCCTCTCCCTCACATGGCAGCGGCGCCGCCTCCTCCCTCCCTCCTCCTAGCTTCTCCCCGCCCTGCCTAGAGGAGGAAGGGGGCTGGGCTTTGTTGATGCCAGCAGCAGCAGCGCTTGAGCGCCCACCATTTGAAGCAGCCCCTCTCCGGAGCCCTTTTGTACGCCGCTCATCTCCCTCTGCCGCCGCCAGCCCCTGCTGCTCGCAAGACACAGGTAAGCGGCCACCGGGGGAATGTGGTGCTCTTGCATCATTCCCCCCCCCCAAATATATTCCACCCCCCCCAAGGTCTGAGGGACAGTGGACTGGCCCCCTGCTGAAAAAGTTTGCTGACCCTTGTCCTAGCCGGTCACCAGCCAAGACCACTTTAAGGAGACATGCTTGGTTGGAGGGCAACCAAAATGGTCAAAGGCCTGGAAACGATGCCTTATGAGGAACGGCTAAGGGAGCTGGGCATGTTTAGCCTGGAGAAGAGGAGCTAAAGGGGTGATATGATAGCCATGTTCAAATATATAAAAGGATGCCATATAGAGGAGGGAGAAAGGTTGTTTTCTGCTGCTCCAGAGAAGCGGACACGGAGCAATGGATCCAAACTACAAGAAAGAAGATTCCACCTAAACATTAGGAAGAACTTCCTGACAGTAAGAGCTGTTCGACAGTGGAATTTGCTGCCAAGGAGTGTGGTGGAGTCTCCTTCTTTGGAGGTCTTTAAGCAGAGGCTTGACAACCATATGTCAGGAGTGCTCTGATGGTGTTTCCTGCTTGGCAGGGGGTTGGACTCGATGGCCCTTGTGGTCTCTTCCAACTCTATGATTCTATGATAGCATCTGATACCTGCCATGCACAGGATGTTGGCGACTTGTTCACAGAACGAGTGAATGGCTGAGTTCTTTTACCATCTTGAGTCTGAGGAAGAGTTCTGGAGAACTCAACACCTTGCAGGGGTTTTTTGTGATATTGTGCTGGCCAAACACAGGCATTGCCTTGATATGGATTTTATAATCCTTGGTCTCTCTCTTCCTCTGTACATCCCCCTCCCACCCCGTATTCCATTACTTTTCCCTGCCCCACCCTGGTTTTCAATTTGCTTCCTCTCTGCAGTCAGCTGACATTCAAAGGGCAACGAACATCTTCGTTTAGCTGTTTTTGGGGCGTCTCCCCCACTTAATTCCTCCTCCCTAAAGTTTTTTGTACTTCTGCAACATTTGGCTTATTTTGAGTCTGCTAATATCTCCTCCTTACTTACATAAACTTTGGAATTACTGTAGAATATGGGATTTACATCTGGGACTGTTGCCTGGCTCACAGCTCCTATGTCTCAATGACTCTCTTCTCTACAAACACATAAACTAGTGCTTGGCGTGTTACTTCTCTTCTGAGTAGCTTCAGACTGTTCTGATGGCTCTTCCACCTGCACATAGAGCTGGGGTAGAGAATTACACAGTGCATGAAGTAGCAGGGGACTTGCAATGTGGTTTGTAGGCAGTGAAGGAAGATTACGGGCTCTGCTGCTAAGCTGAGACCCCCACTTTTTTCTAACCCAGTGAAGCACAAAGTGGGAGCACATGGATTAGGAATGGAAAACATTGGAAAGAGAGGATTATAGTGCATTACATTAATTGCAATAGCTTAGAGCTGGGCTTGCCGAAGACACTATTAAATAATGCACAAAAAGGATGCTGGAGTATCTGTCAAAAGTCCCACTGGAATACATATTGTAAGAACAGCATTCGCATCTATTGCTGAGTTATTTTCTTCATCAAATTTTCCTCAATAGGGATTTTTTTAAATTGCGTTTTCCTATCTGGAGCAAAAAATACTTTCTCGGCTTCACATTCATGTTCCCAGAACAAGTTTCATGCACTAAAATGCATAACAGGTTGAAAGAGGTCAGGGAAGCCCACGTGAATGAAGATACACTTATGAGATATACATTATTATTATTATTATTATTGTTGTTGTTGTTGTTATAATTTATATATCGCCCTTCATCTGAAGATTCACTGAATCCCCATCAGATTTCTTGGGGGATAGAGCAAGGCAGATTCTTTGCTGCTTAATATACCAAAATACTGAGCTCCAATTGTTTATTATTATCTTCTTCATATCAAGGCATTAGCCTATTATTAAATTAAAAACCTATCCCAAAATAAGTTTCAAGCTGGTGTTTCAGCACTGGCTGCAAAGGAGGGGCCTCCACTGACACCCATTATTTTTATCAACACTAATCTGATCACGCCTAGCAATCCGTTAAAAAACTTAGGAGGAGAGCTGGGTAGGCCACATATTTCCCCCGAGAGCGGACCCAAGTTGGGACTGCCCCCTGGGGAACTCCCACACCTATGCCTGCCTGCAATTGGCCAATCTGCAGGCAGGCTTGCAATTCCGCTGACGTGGCCGTTGCCAAGCCGTCAACACCACCCGCCATTAAAAGTAAGCGGACTTACATTGATGTGTTACCTAACCTGATCACATCTAGCACACATCTTAGCAGGTTTGGAATGCTTAAAGCACTTCAGGTATGCTATACTTTACAACATGGGCCAGCGACATGGCACCCATGGGTGCACATGTAGCCAGAGGTCTTTGCTGCCCCCCCAGACCCAATCCAATTAGGCATGAAAAAAGGCCTCCAATTGGCTTCAATTATTTGGGGATGATGGGCACTGCACAACACCTGGAGAGCCAGAGGTCAGCCACCTTGCCTAAGGCGGGTGTGCGGCCTCATCCAGAACAGGTAAGCTGCCATGGCAGGTTGAATATAAGACACAGCACTTAGAGCGAAGGGTTTATTGTACACCATTTTCAAAACATTTACAGAAAGGCCATTACATGTAATTTCATAGCAACAAAATGAAACATTTCTGGGAAATTAGCTGCCCGAGCTAAAACAAAGTAAACAAGGAAGTATTCCAGAGACAGGGTCATTTTATGTTAAAAGGGTAGCGGCGACCTTGGAGAACTGCTACTCGTTGCCAGATTTTCACTTTAACCACGTTTTTCAGAAGGAAGGAAAAGGCTTGCTCCATTTAGTCCATGAGTGAAATAGCATATTCAAAATGAAAAAAAAAGGAAAACTACTACTTGATGTATTTCTCCATGAACTTTTTGTGAAATTCAGACCGCAGCGTGTCATTGACGAATCTTTTGTCCTTTTTCATCTCATCGACTCCCTTCGCACAGTTCTTGAAGACCACGTCATCGTCCCATCTAAATCCAGGAAGCAAAATATGTTAACCGTAAGAATTAAAGAGAAAATGTGTGACATCATAACAAGACAAAAGGTAAGGAGCATTAATCCATGCTATAGTGCAATATCCACCAACCGCAGCCAGCAGTGATTTGTGGGGCTGTGCACTGGACTTGATGTGATTCATTATATATCTATGCTGATTTTTATTCACATGAATCACAAAGTGGCCTGCAAACAATAAATAACAACGTAATAGAACATCACAAATCATATAGTTCAATTAACAAATCATCAGTAAAACCATTACAATTCATAAAACACTATTGAAGCAAATGAGGAAAACCGCACAATTGCAAAAAAATATTTATCACATTATCGGATTCACAAAGTACTACAGCATTCATAATCTCTAAGACAATATTAACAACGTTAACAAAACAGCAATCAAAAAATAAACTTAAGCATACAATTAAGATTCATTTAAAATATTCTGGAACTGTGAAATTGTGGAGAAGTTGGGAACAAGTAATTTAGGTGGCCATCCCTATGTAAAGCAAGCACCTCCATACCTCCTCTTCACTTTGAAGTTTGCCTGAGGCTGAACTGGACCAGTGAGGTTCAACAAAGGGTTCCCACTCAGGATGTTCTCCATCCGTATCCTCTCCTCTTCAGCTTTCTGCTCTAGTTCCTGGCAAGGTGAGAAAAAGATGGTCCGTGAGCTATAACATAGACCCTATTTTCTGTTCTACCTGATTTTGAGGAAGCTGGGGACTTGGCCACATAAAATTCCCAACCATCTTGTCCAGTCTATTTAGGTTTCTCTTTTCTGTTTTTCCTTCTTGCAGTACCAGGTTTAAATTAAAGGCAGCTGTCACCATTACAGTGCTGAAAACAAACACACAGCAAATATTGGCTCGGTGTGCAGCACGAAACTGCTCTGGGGTTTTGGCTTTATGTATCCCCCTGAGCTTGGAACAATAAAGTCAAAACAATGGAGGGCTGATCTTCAGATTTCCCCACAGCAGGGCATGGTTATCTCTTGATATGAATTCTCTAGGAAGGACTGTAGGGAAGGCTGTAATGGAGGTGGTATCACTCTGTACATCAAAGAGGGCACTGAGTCCAGAAAGCTAGAAATCTCTCGCCCACAAGCCTGGTTTGTCTGTCTGTATGGAAACCTGTGCATCTTCCTACATGCAGTTCCTTGTTGCCCATGGCGACCAAGCCAGGGCTTGAATATATATGGCAGATCTTCTGCATTAACAGATGCAGAACATTCTAGAGGGGCCACATGCAGAAGGGTACCAGGTTCAACTCCTACTTAAAAGAATATTGGAGAGCAATGTTTAAGGCAGCTTGAAACATTGAAAGGGATAACTAGAGTTGGCAAGGGAAACAGAATGATTAATGCGATAATGAAAACCAAAAGGCAGCCGCATAAGGTTCTCCATCTTAAACAGCTTCTGCTGGCCTCTAGTGGCATCAAACAGTCATTTCTGGAAACCGTTTTCTGTAGCATTTGTATACAGCAGGGGTGGAAAACTGGATCCTGATAGCCCCCAGCCCCCACGGGGCACTTGGGAAGGTGGGTGGGAGCTGCCCATCTGTCAATCACCTGGTGTCACCATGACATCAGGTGAAGAGTTTTCCTTTCATTCCTTGGCTTGAATTAAAGCCAGTTTGCAAAGGAACAGAACGTTCCTTTTGCCAATGTGGTTTAAACTGCACAGGGAAAGGAAGCGTTTCCCTGCAGGGCTTGCTGCAAGAACAGAGCAAAACCTGCTTTGCGGAAGGATCAGCTATAGTATGGAGGCCCTAGTTGCCACAAGCCAGGCTTGCCAAGAAACAACAGAATCTTCACTCTATGGCTTCCAATCCATTTGGTCTGAGGGCTGGAGGTTCTCCCCTGAAGCTACACAGCAGCACCATTCTGCTCTGATGTAAAGTAACCAGGGCTAGGACTTCACTTTGGAGATCAGTGGATTACCCAAAAAGGGGACGGAACTATTTCTGACATAACAAAATCACGTACAGCGCGTGTCCATTAATGTTGCTTGTTGCTTGAAAGGCTAATTGCTTTGAAGTCTTCAGACACACACTTTGAAAGCTATACAAGTCATTAGCAGCGTAATGGTTGCAGAAACACCTGGCTTGCAGAAAGCTCCAGATGAAGTCCCTACATTGTGTCTGCTTCAAAGGATTCAGGCATTGGAGCTAGCAGAGACCTCTACAGGTTAAATGGGCCAATGGCCTGTCTACGGCAGCTTTTATAATAAGAATTAAAAGATGCTTACCTTTCGGGCCTGCTCCTCAGCCCGCTCCTTCTTGATCTTTTCTAGCTCAGCTAAAAGAGCAGCTGTGTCATCGTCACTCTCTTCGTCATAGTCCTCATCTTCATCCTCCTCCTACAGATGCAGCAAAGTTTTAGCAAACATTGTCCCATCTCCTACCCACCGTGGAAACTTAGGCAGAACTTTATGCGCCGCGTTACAGACAACGGCATCCTATTTCCAACACAACGGATCAGGTGAACCTCCACATGAATGTCTCACACAGACATTTTTGCACTTTGCAATTTCCATGGGCCCATGTGATGTGCCAATATACTGCCATGTGTGCTGCATGTAAGCTTTTAAGTTTAAGCACACCAACTGCAGTGCTTCAAGACTGGCCTGTGTTGCCTAAGCTTACTAGCCAATCTCAGTATGACAAAATGCTCCATCAAAACAATTTGGGTTCAGCGCATCTTGTCAGTTTCCTCAAAATTGACAGTACAGTGGTACCTTGGGTTACATACGCTTCAGGTTACAGACTCCGCTAACCCAGAAATAGTGCTTCAGGTTAAGAACTTTGTTTCAGGATGAGAACAGAAATCGTGCTCCGGCGGCGCGGCGACAGCAGGAGGCCCCATTAGCTAAAGTGGCGACTCAGGTTAAGAACAGTTTCAGGTTAAGAACGGACCTCCGGAACGAATTAAGTACTTAACCCGAGGTACCACTGTATAAAAATCATCCTCTCTTCTCTACATCCATATGACTGTACCATTTTAAAATGAAGTGACTGTTCCTCTAAAATTCAGGCCTGCGCCAGACACAACCCACTGCACAGTGTGTGGCCCATCAGTTAAGTACTGTGGGCAAAACAGGTGCCTGACAGCCCCTATATCATAGAATTCCACAGTCCTAGACAGGCAGACAGGTCAGAAGACTTATGGAGCCCCAGGTGGCTTGCAATGCACAGCTGCCGGGCTGTGTTTGCCGTAGCTGATCGCAAGTTGTACATGCCTGTCCCAAAGAGGCCCTGCAGCAGGCACGGGGAACCTGTGGCCCTCAGATGTCATTGGGCTCCAACTCCCATCAGCCCCGGCCAGCATGGCCAGTGGACGAGGCTGACACAAGCTGCAGCTGGGCAACAATATCACAACTCTATTGCCCTAGAGAGGCACCTCGTGTTTCTGACGTTTAAGCAGGGAGAAGGATTATGCCAATAAAGGATGAATGAACGAATTTTGTCAGCACTTCAGACTCTGATATTAGGAAGACTGTGTGTCACAGTTCCGCTAATGGACTACTATTCTGATAGCAGGGTTGTACCCATCAGGGTTCTTCTGCTGATGGAAAGCACCTTGAGCCACTTTTGGCTTCCATCAATAGATCAGGGATGTGATTTTCACCAACTCCCCCTTCCCACTCTATCTGCACCAAGGGCTTGGGGAAAATCAACAAAAATCGCCTTCCTCCCTGTTCTGCTGATGGAAACCTCTGTCAAAGCAAAAAAGGATGCAACCAGCCACCCAATGTAGCTGAGTGGAAATATTGAAGTGGCAAAAACTTGTTTTCACTTCTTTTGTTGAAGTTTTTGTTGGTGCCCCAACAAGAACCTCACTACTGACTTTTAAAGCTTCTGTTTTTCTGTCCAGCAAATACTGTTTCCCAACATCCAAGAATACATACGTCAGTCAAAGGATCATCTGCATCCAAGTTAGCTGCAGGGATCTGATCTAGCCGGGGTTTCTTAGACACAGAAGAGGACGTTGTGTGCTCTGGGGGGCAAAAGCAGGAAAAACCGTAAGAACTTGGATAATCAGCAGCAATAAAAGAAAAGCGACCGAAACATAGAGAATCACCAACACTGAGCTTACTGCAAACCCAAGTGCAAAAATAAAATAGAATTACTAGAAGCATATGAATCTTTTGCCAACACAAACCAGTCATTTGTTGCATGTACAACCCTGCCTGGCATCATCTCACTCTCGGATCAAACTTCTTCAGATGTCTGGGGAAACCCACATTAAGGAGACAGACTTGACTTGATCCTTGCTTTTTGGAAGAAGGTCTCAAAAGCCGAGGAGGGTATAATACTTCTCTCTTCTACTGCTTTGTTTTGCAATTCGCTCTCAGCTGGTTTCTCCTATTAAGCTCACGGTACCCTTAACATTGGGACGCAGGTGGCGCTGTGGGTTAAACCACCGAGCCTACGACTTGCCGATCAGAAGGTCGGCGGTTCGAATCCCTGTGACAGGGTGAGCTCCCGTTGCTCAGTCCCAGCTCCTGCCAACCTAGCAGTTCGAAAGCACGTCAAAGTGCAAGTAGATAAATAGGAACCGCTCCGGCGGGAAGGTAAACGGCGTTTCTATGCGCTGCTCTGGTTTGCCAGAAGCGGCTTAGTCATGCTGGCCACATGACCCCGAAGCTGTCTGCGGACAAACGCCGGCTCCCTCGGTCCATAGAGCGAGATGAGAGCCGCAACCCCAGTCAGTCACGACTGGACCTAATGGTCAGGGGTCCCTTTCCCTTTACCCTTAACATTAGGGACACGGGTGGCGCTGTGGGTTAAACCACAGAACCTAGGACTTGCCGATCAGAAGTTCGGCAGTTTGAATCCCCGCGATGGGGTGAGCTCCCGTTGCTCAGTTCCTGCTCCTGCCAACCTAGCAGTTCGAAAGCATGTCAAAGTGCAAGTAAATAGGTACCGCTCCGGCGGGAACATAAATGGCATTTCCGTGCGCTGCTCTGGTTCGCCAGAAGCGGCTTAGTCATGCTGGCCACATGACCCAGAAAAACTGTCTGCGGACAAACGTCGGCTCCCTCGGCCAGTAAAGCGAGATGAGCGCCGTAATCCCAGAGTCGGTCACAACTGGACCGAATGGTCAGGGGTCCCATTACCTTTACCCTTAACATTACCCCATCTGAGGAGCAAATTTGCAAGGCAGGGATCTATGTGGTGAGGGGATCTCTCCTGATCTTCCAATACTTGCACTTTTAAAAATGGGTTTAATGCAGGTTTTAATGATGTGAACTGCTTCCAGACTTACCTCATAATAAGAATTATAAAAGATTTTCATTTGAATTTTTTTAATATTTTAGAATTTAAAAATATATATATTAAAATATTTTAATTGCCTACATACAATTCCTTGCTGCCTACGGGTACCCAGCAAGTGCTTAAATGCTTAATTCTACTGGGATTAACTTTTGTTGAATGACCTGGAACTGTCCTTGAGACAGCCTGCAAGTCACAGCCTGACCACCCCTCCGAAAGGGAAAATAATCTGCCCAAACAACACAGACCTCGCGCAGGCCTGTCTCTGTTCTTCTCCCTCACGACAACTCTCTCCCTCTCCTCCAGTTCTCTCCTGAAGTCACGGTTGCGTACCTCTTCAGGGGCATCCTGGGTGGTTTGTCTGAAAACAAGAAGCAAGCGCAGAAGCTGAAGGGAAGGAATTAGCCACATACAGCTGACGCATTACAGTTGCTGTGACTATGAGAGGTGAAACATTCGTAACAAATATCACCTCGGCCAAATGCTCATCATTTTACTTATTACAAATCAGTAACCCACTCTGAAGACTTCTAGAGCACCTCAACACATTTAAAAGGAATAATCGGACACTTAAAACAACAGAGAATATGCTTTTAAAAAGAAATAAAAACTGGTGGCAGTTGAGTCTCCCTGGCAAAGGCATTCCAGGGCTAGGAGCCACCACAGAAAAGGGGGAGAACCTGGAGAAGGGCCTAAGAGAAAGAAGGAAAGCATAGCATTTCAAGTACCCCATATGCCAAGCTGAATTGGGCTTTGAAAGCTGCTGTTTTATGGCAAATGGGTCACTGCCCCACCACCTTCAGGGTGCCCTTAGCCAATCCCCACCTGCCCCCTTTATTACTTATAACCAGCCCGGGGGCAATGCCTGTCAGCTTCCTCCTCCTCAGTCCCAGTGTTGCTCAACAGGGAGGAAGATGGGGACAACCCTAGATTTAGCTAGCTCTGGCTGCCTACGGCTCCGACCCTGTTCACTGCTGGTCTCCATTCGTTATGCTCTACCACTGCCAATGGGCAACAGCCACCACTGGCCTTTAAGGTTAAGGACCAGTACCAGAACTAGCAAAGTGATACTAGGCAAGCTATTATTCTTGCAGCTTCAACCCACTTCTACAGTATGGAGATAATGACACTGCCCAACATTATCAGGAACTGCAAGCTTTCAGCATTGATTTGGAAGCAGATCCCTTCAAATTACAGGTGCTATTATAATCCCACAGTACACATGAGGGATAGGGAAGCTGAGGAAAAGGTCCCAAAAAGCACAGCAGCCAAAACTCAGAGATCTTTTACTGGGCCTCATGATGGGCCTGCTGTTAGATCCAGTTTAAACTGCATGCTCGTACCCATCTGGTTGTGGAAGATGCTTTGCCATTATTGCCCATTTGTGAAGTTCTGAGATGGCCGTATAGTGGTGGGAAACCTCTGGACTGCAAGCCTAATTAGACTCACCATGCTGACCCATTTGGCTCATGGGGCCATTTTGGTCAGCCAAAACCCACCTCCCATATACCTGGTGCCATATATGACATCAAGTGCAGGGCAGGTGAAGATATGGTTTGGCTGAAAGCAGAATTTATAGGAACCATCGAGCAGCTGATTGCTGTGTCTTGCAAAGTGCTGTTCCTCTACCCATGCAGTTCTTCAAACTGCTCAGATAAAGAAAAATGGGTCACTGGCGGTCAAGTGATTGACAAGCCATTTGACACCCTCCTGTCAAAACTGGTCTGCAAGGGTGGGGGTGGTAAGGATCTGTATCCAATTCTCCACCCTTCCAATGAAGTTAGTTCTGCAAAGGCATCCACAAATTTAATCGCTCACACAAATTACAAAGAGTTTGTCTGCCCACCCGCACAGCATTTGTGCTATGCTGATAGCCAGAAATAAAACAAATAATGAAATCACTTTTAGTTTGTAAATGTTTTCCTGTAGCAAATTCTACCTGCCAAAGGGACAGAAAAAACTATTCCCTGCTAAAGACAAAATAAACACTGCAGAAAACAGCCCCCACAAGAAACGTAAACTGTTACCTGTATTTGATTTTAGTATGAGAGGGAAGATCTCGGCTGGAATATTGTTTGGAGAGCTGACTTAAGTCACCTTCCCCTTTCCCTCTCCCTCCTCTTGCAGGTTCAAATGTTGGTCTAGCTGCAGTAGTCATCTTTAATACTGTGAGATCAAATGCACATCATGGATGGATGCTAGAGCCTGCCAGAGCAAAAAAAGCAAAAAATCTAAATCAACACGCATAGCAAGCCTTATTACTACACACTGCAGTCCCACATAAAATCGCTCCTCTGTGGCAGCTATTACATTTTTTAAAAAAAAGCAAGATAGCTGCTTATTGAGCACCATGCACAATTTGGTCCTACGAGCCTAGGCAGCAAATCAGGAAGGCCCTGCCTTAATTCTCACCTCTACCATAACCTCACTACTTGGACTTTGGCGATAGTACTGACATACCTGAGTTAGCGAACTGGGTGCCCTCCAGATATTGCTGGACTCCCATCAGCCCTACCCAACATAGCCAAAGGTGATGGGAGTTGTAGTCCACAGAACTGGACTACAGTTGGAGGACGCCATGTTGGCTGCCCTTACCTTACAGGGCTGCTGTATGGCATTCAACTGGATAATACATGGGCACTGCTTGGAGCGCTTGAAAACGCTAGGTGGGCATTAAGCACCACCTCCTTACCCTTACATTCCGTGCACTCTGGTTTCCGTCACGGTGTCCCATTGCACCAGAAGCAGTTTAGTCATGAGCCAGAAAGCTGTCTGAGGACAAACGGCTCCATTGGCCTGAAAAACGATATGAGCGCCGCAATGCCATAGTCGCCTTTGACTGGACTTAACCGTGCAGGAGTCCTTTACCTTTACCCTTACATTATGGCACAGGAACAGAGGCAATACTCTTCCATTCACTCCTACTATTCTGCACTGATTCACCAAATAATCCATTAAATTGATTTGCTGCAATCCCCCTCGTCATAGCTGTCAACTTTTCCCTTTTTTTAAGGGGAATGCCCTTATTCCGAATAGGATTCCTCGCAAGAAAAGGGAAACGTTGACAGCTATGCACCTCGTTGTCATGTACTGCAAAAGGACATGCTTGGCATTTTAACCCCCTGAACCTTTAGTGCGACCCGCCTTTTCCCCGCTTATCTTTGTTTGTTTTGTTTTTTTAAATAAATTTTTATTAATTTTCCATAAATAAAAGAGAAAACATAGTAGAAAACATAGGCAAACACCAAAAACGACTTCCCCATACCACCCCCTTTCTGCATTCATATTTCAAGATTCTCCAGCAACCCTTTCGTATTAAACTTATTTCTATTTCATAAATTTATCTTCCATAAAATAATAAAACAACTGTAGTTCTTTATCTCTTATTACCCTGGTCTTCTAATTTTCCAAATTACAACAGTTTTTAAGATAAGTTTTAAATTTGTTCCAGTCTTCATCCACCGCCTCTTTCCCCCGGTCTCGGATTCTGCCAGTCATCTCTGCCAGTCCCATATAATCGATCACCTTCGTCTGCCATTCTTCCAACGTGGGTAGATCTTGTGTCTTCCAATACTTTGCTAGAAGAATTCTTGCTGCTGTTGTAGCATACATAAAAAATGTCCTATCCTTCTTTGGCACCATTTGGCCTACCATACCCAGGAGAAAGGCTTCTGGCTTTTTGTTAAAAGTTCTCTTCAGAACTTTTTTAATTTCATTATAGATCATTTCCCAGAAAGCCTTAATCTTCGGGCAGGTCCACCAAAGGTGGTAGAAGGTTCCCTCCGTTTCATTGCACTTCCAACACTTGTTATTGGGCAAATGATAAATCTTTGCTAACTTAGCCGGAGTCATGTACCACCTGTAGATCATTTTCATAATGTTTTCTCTTAAGGCATTACATGCCGTAAATTTAACACCAGTGGTCCATAACTGCTCCCAGTCAGCAAACTCAATATCATGCCCTATATCCTGTGCCCATTTAATCATGCTAGATTTCACCATTTCATCTTGAGTATTCCATTTCAGCAGCAAGTTATACATTCTTGACAAGTTTTTAGTATTGGGTTCTAACAGTTCTGTTTCTAGTTTTGACTTCTCCACTTGGAAGCCTTTCTTTCTGTCCTGTTTAAATACTTCATTTATCTGTCGATAATGTAGCCAATCTCTCACCTTAAACTTCAGATTCTCGAAACTCTGCAATTTTACTTTTTCACCATCTTGTTCTATCATTTCAAAATATTTAGGCCAATTAGAACCCATATTCAGTTTTTTCACCTCATTTGCCTCCATTGGTGACAGCCACCTAGGGGTTTTGCTTTCAAACAAATCTTTATACTTTATCCAGACATTATACAGAGCTTTCCTCACCATATGGTTCTTAAAGCCTTTGTGTACTTTTACCTTGTCATACCATATATATGCATGCCAACCAAATCTGTTATCAAACCCTTCCAGATCCAAAATGTCTGTATTCTCGAGGAGCAGCCAGTCTTTCAGCCAGCAAAACGCTGCTGATTCATAGTAAAGTCTTAAGTCCGGACTTCCCTGCTTATCTTTGTACAAAGAAACGGTAATGGCTGTCCTGAGGCGGCTTTGCTACTGAAAAACAAATTCTGATTCTTAAAAAAACACACGAAGCCAGGGTCTCCCTGCGCGGCAACCGACCTAAACCCCCGGCGTCTCCTGCTACGTCAAAGGCCCGCCCGAGGCCCCCGTGTCCCCCTGTTCTCACCCGTGGGCCGCCCAGGAGTCAGGACCTGAGGCCTCCCGCTCCTGCGACCCCCACCAAAGGGCGCTCGGAGGCACGGAAGCCGCGACAGGAGAGCCACGGGCAGCTTCCGGCCTCCGAAGACGCCCCTTCCCCCGCCCGAAAGGCTCACCGGCTGCTCCCTCCTCACGGGCACCACGGCGGCGCGGCCACTAGGCCGGCAGATCCGTCGCAACCCCCGCACTCCCGGCAGCCACCGCGCCCAGGGCCCAGCGCCTCAGGTGCGCGCGCAGACTCCGAAGCCATAGAAAATCTACAGGCTAGAAGGACGCGCCGCTCTAGTTTCCGGTTAAAATAAATAAATAAATAAATCGCGTCGCGCGATGGCTAGGCTGCTCGCGGCATCAACTTTCGCCTCATCTCTCGTGGGAAGAAACGGAGAGCAATCCAAGAGGGAGGTGGGGCCGGAGACAAGACTCAGGGAGGCTGTAATGAGCAAACGCCATAGAGGATACCATAGAGAAGGAGGTAGAACGTCTCCGCTCCTCTTTTTTTTCCCCTTTCCGTTGCGCAAAATGGCGGCGGCCAGTTGGAAACCGGAAGTTCCGGAGAGGCGCGCTTTGCCACGCTGCTCGTAGACTTCCGCCCTCGAGGACAACGCAATGGCGGGAGTCGGGAAAAGGAACGGTCCGGTTACGTCACGCTGCTTAGGATGACCCGCCCACAAAGGGGCGGCGCCTGGTCGGAAGTGAGACGATTGCTCCCCGTGAGTTTCTGTTGCCATGGTGATGGAGAGAGGCTGGAAAAGGCTCGAAAGAGAACAGTTTCTGGAGCAGAGCAAAGGGCTTCTGAGTGTATGCAGAGTGCTTTCCCCACCCCGCTCCGTAAAGATAACCTGCCGTCACGTGCTTGGACTTGCGGGCCATCGCTTCATAAACCACTTACCTTTATTCTTCTCTTTTTTACGGGATTGAAGGATAGCTGTGCTGGTCCCACCAGTCAGGGCACCTCGAAGGGCCCGACAGCTTTCCTTGAGCTACGGGGACAGTGGCTTCCACTTCCAAACCTTCGTGACTCAGCAGCTTCTTTTCACAGTAAAAATCAACACGTTTTATCCCACTTTTTCCCTGTTCGGTGGTTCAAAGAAAGCTTTAAAAATCTATATCTGAAATGCTAAAAGTCATGTTAAGCCACGAGAGGTCCTCAGGGAGCTGCAGAACTCGCCAGAATCACTGAGGTGCTGTAAGGCGTTAAAGACAAACCACCAGGTCTGTCTGGGGACCAGGGGCTTGTCCACATTTGAGTATTATTTAGCTGTTTTATTATTATTACTACTACAGTACTACTACTGCTGCTATTAAATCAAATTTATATACCACTCTTCATCCAAAGATCACAGAGCATTTTGCAACACTTTAAATTCATGGCTAAATTCACAGCCCCCATTCAGATTAGACCGGAGTAGTCCACATCTGCATGTATTTGAATTTGTATACAGTGGTGCCTCGCAAGACGAAAATAAGCCGTTCCGCGAGTCTTTTTGTCTAGCGGTTTTTTCGTCTTGCGAAGCAACCCTATTAGCGGCTTTGCGGATTAGCGCTATTAGCGGCTTAGCGGCTATTAAAGGATTAGCGGATTAGCGGCTAAAAGGCTATTAGCGGCTTAGAAAAAGGGGGGGGAGCGGGAAAAATTTGCAAGACTCGCAAGACGTTTTCGTCTTGCGAAGCAAGCCCATAGGGAAAATCGTCTTGCGAAGCAACTCAAAAACGGAAAACCCTTTCGTCTAGCGGGTTTTTTCGTCTTGCGAGGCATTCGTCTTGCGGGGCACCACTGTATATTATGGGAAGCAACTTCAGTCTTTCTTTGGGGTCCCTTCAGGCAGCTCCCAAACCAACTGATGACAAGAAAGGAGATTCTGGCTAAACATCAGGAGTAACTTTCTGAAGTTAAGATCTGTTCAACAGTGGAATGGACTCCCTCGGAAGGTGATGGGCAGGTATTTCATTGGAGGCTTTTAAGCAGAGGTTGGGTGGCTATTTGTCAGGGATGCTCTATTTGAGATTCCTGCATCGCAGGGGGTTGGAAAGGTCAATAACTTCAATCCTAAAAAAAGCTCAACAGCTTTGGTCGGCCCTCATGCATGTTCACTTCATCAAACCTGGCCCTCTTTGAAAAAAGTTTGGGTTCCCCTGGGCTAAGATGACCCCTGGGTTCCTTCCATCTCTACAGTTCTCTGTTTCTATGACCCAACTAGGTAGGGCTGGTAGAGCATGTGCTTTGCATACAAAAAACCCCAAGTTCAGTTCCTGCCATTTCCAAGACTTGGTCCCGAATCCTTGGCCAAATTCACGATATACTTCTAAAGCACCATGATACCATTTAAAACACTTTAAACAGTGGTTTAACAACAAATCCCTCTTTAAAGGGAAATCTGTTACTTGCAGCTCTGTGAGGGGAACAGGGGTCTTCTAACAACTCACAGCACCCTTAACAAACTACAGCTCCCAGAATTCTTTGGGGGAAGCCATGCATGTTCAAAGTAGTGTCATAGTATTTTAAATATATGGTGTGAATGTTGCCCTAGACAGCTGCTACCAGTCAGCGTAGACAATAGTGTGCAAGATGTTCCTACTTATTTTGACTTTTCTTTAGTAGAGTAAATCTGCAGTGGCTGCCTAGATTAAATATCCAAGCTTTTCATTTCAGTGCATTGATGGTCTTCATAGAATCGTGATGCTCCTACTATAAGCTCTTCCATTTCTTGAGGCTCCGTTTAGTTCTCATGTATACCTATATTTACCAGCTTATGTTATGCTTCTGATAAAGTGGCTAGAATCTGCACTACCAAGGTTTATGCCACATTACTCTGTTAACCATTAAGGGGCTATCAAGGTGTGGGTATCGTTTTTGCTGCAGCCAACTTACTGGAAAAAACGTATTATTTTTTGTTTTGACTATGGCAGATCAACATAGCTACCTACCTGTAACTACAACTTGCTGAAGTTCAAGTTTTAAATTGACATCTCTCAAATGCTTCCACCCAGCAAAAATATGCAACACTGCATACCGGAATAGCTAAGTGGAAGGTGGGGACCTTATCAAGGTTTCCTTTTTTCCTCCTGATTTGCCACTTGTAGACGGAGCAGGCAGAAATGTTTCTGAGGAGGAGTGGTAAGGAAAGAAGCTGTCCGTCCAGTTCATAACCTGCAACTTGAGTTCCCACCCTTTCAGCAATGTCTCTCTTCCAGACCTGTCCCAGAATTGAACACGTGTGTGTGATGCAAAAGATGCAAGCCCAGTCTTGCCTTCTGCGGAAACTTGGAAGGGATTTGACACTTGTTTCGGCAACAGTAAATATGAAAGCTATGTCAAAATACTAAATCTCCCATTTGTTGCCAGGTATTTACCTCTGGCAAGGAGAATCAAAGTAACACCTCATTCCACGTTAGGGCTTGCACAGAGGGTGTGATCTATAACAAAACCATTTATTTAATAGGCTTAAGATCACAATGGATGGTTGCAATGATATTCTGGTACTACAGACACGGTGCTCTGCGTTTAGAGTCAACAGCAAGGAGCACGCAACTGAGATTCAAATTGGAGAAAGTGTGCACCCAAGGCCCCTCTCCCTTGGATTCTAATGCAGTAGATTTTGGGTTTTTTCTAAAGAATAAGATACAAAGATGCAACCATTTGAACAGTTGGTACTAGAGAATCCAGATGATATTCCACCTGCTGGTGTGTGTTGTCTTGGGAGAAAATGGAGGAGTGTGCCTTTGGGGGTGAAGTCAAACTTTTGGAAGGTTGCAGCTCCTGCTGTGGCTGTAGAGACCGATATAGGAGAAACATGTTTTGTTACAGCTGGGGCAGATGAAGGTGTCCGGTTGTGTGTATCCTCTGGGAAATGGCGTGTTCCCAGTGCTTCTGAGTTACTGGCAAAATAGGATTGCATAAGATACTGGGCTTGCTGAAGAGCTACTGATCCTAAGAAAACCCACCCACCCACCATATATTTCCTCATTCTGTCCCCCTGACCAATAGAAACAGATATACCCTACTTGGTTGCCACCTGCTTATCCTGTACATTTCTACCGAAATATTACACAAAATGCCATAAAGTTTCCATGTTCTCCACTGATCATGGAAACTTTATGGCATTTTGTAATCCCGAAGCTGCCATAGGGCACTTCCGGGTCATGGGGAATGCAATGCAATATTGTTGGGTTCAGTACCCTTTGCAGGATTAAACGTCGAAACGCCAATTCTGTTTCTTCTGGTCTGGTTACACTTCTGTGTTTCCTTTCACCTAAGGAATAAGTGCAAGGAGTTGTTTGAGGGTGGGGTTGGGTGAATATTTGTAGCCAGCCTATCAAACTGGTTCCGAGTGGTCAAGATGAAAGAGGGTTCAAAAACTATTGCAAGCTTTACTAGCCTGACTCTTGGCAAGGCTCCATGCATTCTGGTTGTTCCCTGTCGAACTTCATCACCCGCCTCCTCCCGTTCTTGTTCCATCAAGCCTACAGCTGGCAACGAATGAAAGCAAGCTACGAACCCTTCCCATCTCTTGCCTGTTCAAACCCTGCAAGGGCCAACTGACTTCTCCTGCAACAGTTGAAATATCTCCTTTTCTATGTGGAACAAAAAATTCAGTCCGCCAGTGGCTGATTTTGTTGTAGCAGGCTGCTGAGAAAATCCATGATGATACTGAGGCTGCACGTCTAATATACATGCTTCCCTGAGAACAAGTCCCACTGAATGCAGTGGGCATTATTTTTTAAAGCAGGAGAGAAAAAACTTGCTTGTTTACCACCTGCTCACACTGTTCCTTTCTGCATGGATATTACTTGGGCCTTCCGTATGCAGAACAGATGCCTTACCATTGAGTACAATTTATCAAGAGCTCTGGCCTCTGCAGATAAGAGGGCTGCAGTTGGCCCTTTTTTTCAGTCCCCAGACATACAAGGGAAGGCAATGTGCTCAGATGCTGGACTGGAAGCTGTTTTCTTGTGCAGAGAAACAGCATAAAGCTCTCTTTGATCAGGAAGCACAGCAAAGCTTTAGGGCAGAAACAAAACATAGCAGGCGCTGAATATTCCAGGACCATCAGAGGCTGAACAGACCACAAACCCCATTTGTAACTATTGCACTTTTAAGTTATTTTAGACTCTGGAATTAATGGTCTTACGGGGAGATTCTCCTTTAGGCTGCAATGGGCTAACTTCAGGATACGCCACCCTGGCTAAATTGGGAGCCCCTGCCGCTCATTCTGCTGAGTGGGGCCCT